GTGGCAATTCCCCTTCCTTGGGCAGGGAGCAGGGAGGGAGGTAGGAAAGGGAAGGGGAAAGAAGAAGAAAAGCTCTTTCTGGGGAAATTAAATTGGACTTCAGATTTACAGGGTCTTCATTTTGTTCTGGTGATAATGAATTAAGCTCTTGCTGGCAGTTATATTGCAGCAGAAATAAGTACCGGTTAAAAGCACTTTTGGAAACTATGACTTTCATTTTAAAGCTGCCACAATTTACATTTAATCCATTCATTAATTCATTTATTTATGCTGCTCAGGTACCAGCCCCACGTCTCTTTGCTTCCCCAGGATTCACCGTTCTCAACCACAGCCACGTGGACTCGAGGCAGGGGCAGCACACGCTTCCTTGCGGGTGTCTGGGCTCAGCCCCACACCTTGCCCCCAGGACACCTCACGTGGGAGCCCTTGGCAAACCCTCCCCTTCCTGGGGCTGAGAACAGCCCTGTCCACAGCAGGGGGCTGGAAATTGATGATCAGTGAGGTCCCTTCCACCCGAACCCTTCCATGAGTCTACGACGCGCAGAGGATGCACTGGTGGGCTCAGTGCCCCAGCAGCCCCACGGAAAACCCCTGTCTATGAGGTCTCCTGATGTCACTTTCATTCACATGATCCAGAAAATGCATTTTTGCCTTTGCACGGCAGGAGGACAGCCACAGTGACCACGTACTCATGGTCTGACACGGAGTGAACCCACACTAGAGATGTGCACCCATGGCCGTGGAGAACATGGGGCTGGGGGATCTAGACTGGAGTTCCCATTAGCTATGGAACAGGGTGGACAAACTTCAACTGCTCTCGGGGACAGCCGTATCTACGAAGCCTTGAGAACTGCTCCCAACCTAGGAGCTCATGGACCTGCTGCCGGGCACGGGTCTCGCTCCTGGGTCTCACTGGATGGACAAAGCCAGCAGCAGCTCGATCAGAGCCCAGTGCTGGTGCCTGGCGGAGGACACATCGCCTGCTGCCAGCACCTGTGGTCCAGAGCTCTGCAAAACGGCCTCGGGATGGGGTTTTGCACCCAGAGTTTCGGGGAGGTTTATATTTATTCATAAGCATCTCTTATCTCACTGCAGCTGCTGATGCCTACACGCATTAAGGCTCTGTAATTCCTCCTTTGTCTGAGAGCAACCCGGCCAGCACGCTCCAGCGCTGCAGAAGCTGCCCATGGCGAAGGACACAGAGGAGACAGAAAGCAGACCGGCTCCGAAAATGTGCCCACGGAGCCCCTTCCTGAGGCTGCAGCTCCAGAAAATCCCCCGTTCCCTACAGCACAGGCGAAAAGCATTTCTGCAAGACGTGAGCTCAGCTCTGAGGATGCTCAGGACTGCAGTACCTGGTTTATTTTGGCAGGCCCGGTCCCACCTGGCACGGCTTCGTGGCTGGCTGCTCCTCGGCAAGGCGCTCGCTGCAGCCGCCGGCTCCATCGGAGCCACCAGCGCCGGGATCCCGAGTGCTCCTGTAATTTATATGGCAGTTTTCATTACTTCCCTTCTCCAAAGACTTGTTCAATAAATTACCAGTTTATGAATTCCAAAGTGCTCTGTGCGGCCCTGAACAAAAGGGAAGGGGAAAAAAAATAGAGCCCAGCCCAGCTGTAATGGCAGAGCTTTTCATCCTGGAAAGAAAGCTATTACTGCAATGATGTCCCCTTTCCCCCAGGTGGATAACGCTGCTTTCATGAGCTGGAGGGTAGCGACACCCTCTCTGTCACTGAGTACTCAGAAGTACCCAGGGTCACCACGTGGGAGCCTCTCAGTGCCCCAAAAACCACACGGACATCGCACAGGGACCTTCCTCAGAGAGCTGAGCCACCTGAGAGACATGGAAGGGGGAAAGAAAGTCTTTAGAATTGGTTACGCAGGGAGAAAAATTCCTCTTTCCTGGCACTTTTGGCACTTTGGCTGGCAGAGAGGGAGGCTGGCAGGGCAGAGATGTTTTGCTGGAGGTACCGAGATGTGACTTTGGCCAGAGCTGCTTCCAGCCCTGATCCCTCCCCACGTCCAGGGGCAATACCCAGGCTGGGTTTGGGCACGGCAGCACAGGCAGGAGGCTCCATGGGTGGACACCACCCGTGAGCATCTCCCCCACGCACCATAGAAAGGAGCGGGGAGGGAAGGAGGGCGAGAGCTGAGCACAACCGCCCCTGCAGCGCTGCCTCCGGAGCCTTTCCTCTCTGCAGGGCAGCAAACATGGGGGAAAAATCAATCGATAACCACCACCCACTGTGTCTCCATCTGTCATTGATTTATGGCCCTGCTGAAAAGCCTTGTTGTCCACAATTATTGGGCAGTCAGCTCCTATTTGCCAGGATTTCATCACCCCTCCTTCCCACCCAGCCTCCCCAGCAGACCGCATCCTACAACGTGCAGGGCTGCAGGGGCTCCTGGAGGGTTTGGTGGCTGGTCCCAGCCATGCCCAGACCCATGGTGGGATGCAGTAAGGCTCAGGTGGGGCTCTCTGAGGGCCTGGGATGGCAGCAGGGATGTGGGCATCTCAACAAGCAGCACGGGGGGAAAGAGCAGGCAGGTGGACTGCAAGTAAATCCAACCAGAAAATTACATTTTGCCCTGAGTGGCTGAAAATTCAGCTTTATCTCACGAGAAACCAAAAAGCTGAGCACAAGAAGATTTCCTTTCTAGCCCTCCTGAAAACCTTCCCGGCTCGATTTTGCTCTTTTGGCCGTTTCTAGCACATGTCACGCTGACCCGGGAGGTCAAATTGATCCAGCCAACCAACCCTGGTGAGAGCAGGAGGCTGCTGGAGGAGCTCCCTGAGATACGTGCTTCATTATATCAGCGCTTCCTTGGGGGAGGAAAGGTTGTGTTGGGAAATAATTGAGTGTCCTGAGCATCAGCAAAGTGCCTGCATCTGCAAAGCCCAAACCTCGTCCTCCTGTGCTGGAGCCTGGGCAGCTCTGTTGGATCGAGCACTGAACCAGTGAGACAATGATTAGGCTTAGTTTCGGTAAGAAATGGAGATATTATGGGAGGTCTGATTGCAGAAATCTGCCCCAAAGTGAATATTTTGACCTAAATCAACTCGTGGCTAAGTGAATGACCAAATGACAATAAGGCTGCCACGCCAGGATCATCATTTTGAGCAAAGTGCACGTGGAGAGACAAAGGAATTGGTCAGGGAAATCAGCACAGACACGGATATGCAGGACATCTGGAACGGCATCACGCCAAAAGGTGTTAGAGCTGCAAGAAATCCTGAGCGGGAGGAAATAAAACTGAAAATAAAGGCTTGTGGAGAGGAGCCTGCAAGGCAACGGGCTGAGCAGTCACTTGAAGGAAGGTGTTAGGGAGAAGCAGAGCCCCTGCCCTGGTTGCAAGGTGGAAGTCCCAAAATTAAGGCTGTGGAGGTCACAGAGTTTCCAACAAGGTGGAAATTGCACCAAAGCAGGCAGAGGGAGAACTAACTTACGAGAAGGGAATGAAACCAACAGCTAGTTACAGAGCCCCAGCACCTTTCTGGCTTCAAGACAGAAAGAACAAGGGTTGTTATTTGAAGAGAATACAGGAAAAAAATGAAAGCATAACTCAGGGCACAGCCCAGCACTGCTTGACCTCAGTTTTCAGCTGGGGTGAGGTTGCATGTGGAGGTAAGAGACGTTCGAGGACGTGGAATGGGGAAGCAGGAGGCAGGAGCCAGCAGTTCCCTGGGGAGGGGAAGGACAGGCACGAGGGAGAGCATCTCTGCTCGCAATTATTTTTACTACATCAAGACAAAGTATTATTGGTTTGGAGTACAGCACATGTGGGGGCTGTATTTAAATAGGAGATACAAGCCCATTAATCTGATCTCGTAGAGGATGAGGTTTCACGGCAGATTCAGGCGGCAGGGCTAATTGAAAGTAAGCAAATAACTGCACAAGGGTTTAACGAGGGGAGATCACGGCACACTAAGTGGATTACCACAGCCCCTCTGTCTGCAGGATCAACTGCTCGCAGCCACCCCGACAGAGCCGAGGGACCTGGAGCTGGAGGCTACAGGAGCACACAGAAGAAACGTGGCACGGGCTATGGCAGAAAAAGGCAGAGAGGCAAAAAGGGCAAGGCAGGGAGATGAGAAGCTGCAGCACCTCCATGTCAGACACATCTCGAAGATGCTTTCAGAAATCTGCAGGTGGGAACCAGCCCATGACCACAGCGGCACCAGAGGACCACCGCCTGCCTCCACACAAAAAGCCTCCTTTTATTTGATAAAATGAGATTCCCTTAATCTGCCTGAGGCATACAGCGCGGCCGAGCCCGCTGAGCGCTTTTAACACAGCCCTCGTCCCCCAGGTGAGATCGGATGTGGAACAGGAATATTGCAATATTGCACCGCCGGACTTGAGTACCCGAGAAGTGGACTGAAATCGTGGCATCACGGCGCGAGGTGCAAGGCCAGGCACTTGGGTTTAAAATATTCCTCTCTGCATTTTTGCCAGTCCCTCAGAAAGAGGGCTGGATTGATGAAAGGAGGATTACGAGACAACGGCACCATATGGCTGTGAATGAGACTAATGCAGCCTCAGCCGCAGAGGGGAGAAGCACATCCCACATGTAGGGTGAGGATTAATGCTGCTATACGGAGCAGACAACCTGGGATCCAGGCATCTGCCTGCAGGAGAGGAGGGAGCCTGTGCTGGCAAAGCAGAAGCCAGGAGGGAATATCACTGCCAGCTATAAATACATCAGGGTCTAAATACGCAGAAGGGAGAAAAGCTGTTGAAGCCAGGAGACAATGTTGGCACAGGGACAAACGGGCAGGAGCTGGCTGTGAAGAAGGGTTGGAGGAAATGTCCTGCTGCTCCCAAGGCCCAGCTTTGGCACCACGATCCCAGACTTACCTGCAGAGCCAGCCCAGGAAGGCGGCTGGGAGGTGCCGTGGGTGGGACAGGGAAGGAGCATAAAAGGGTGAGCTGGGCTCCCAGCCCAGGTCCAGCAGAGAACCTGCTGTTCGCACTCATCCCTCCAGCCCCTACTGTTCCTAATGGGATCAGGAGGGTGAACCCAGCTTTTCCTCGACCAGAAAGAGCAGGGACTGTTCTCAGAGCCGGGCGCCCCTAGCTCAGAGCACCAGCTCCTCCTTTCCTCCTGCTCCCATCCTCGCCGCCTGTCTGGGATCTCCAATTTCCTTTTGCCTGCTCCAAGCAGACTCCCACGGGGCCCTGCACCAGAATGGATTTCACGGCCTGAAAAAGCTGTCTGTGGAGCAGCCAAAGCTGTCCTAAGCACCCAGTAACGCTGAGCAGCTTTGGATGCTGCTCCATGCCCCGTGCTAGCCAGCAGTGGAGGCTGCCAGGGAGCAGCAGAAGCAGGGTGCAGGCTGGAGGATGAGTCTTGGGGGTCCCTCCCCCGTGTGGGCTCATCCTAGGAAGGTTTCCTGGCAGAGACCAGCGCCTGTTGTGAGCAAGGGGACCCCAGGAATTATGAATGAGAGGTGGGCTGGTGTCAGGAGACAGGGAGAGCCTGCGGGATCCGTGCTCTGCAGAATTCGGGCACGGCTCTGCCCTGTGGGCTTGTCCTTTTGCCTTCGCTTACCCCTGCTCCACATCCAAAGGCACCAATAACACTCAGTGAAGCTCCGAGCTTTCGAGCCTGGCTTTCTTCAGCCCTGCTCCCAGGGGTCTGACGGGCTGCCAAGGTCCCCTCACGTACCCACGTGCGCCCACCCGCTGCCTCCCCACGGAGCACCCAGCTCCTGCCCCACTTTTGGCTGCAGGAGCTCCTGCGCCGCTTGCAGCCCCGTGCCTGCAGGCTCGCGCCGAGCTTTGGGGCAGGGGTGCAGCTTTGTGAAATTCAGCATCTGCCTGGCTCCCAGCCCTGCCTCGGCAGCATCGCCATCACCATGGAAACCCGGCGGGGGGAGACGGGTTGCTTGGCAACAACCCCCCCGGCTGGACCACGCCGCTGACCCCAGGTACAGCATCCTTGCAGGGGGCTCGGTGCTCGCAGCGATGCGCCCCTGGGATGGGGATGCAGGTGGGGAGGGTGGGAGGGCATCCTGGCCCTCAGGAAGGGGTGGTGTAAGGGGCAGCTGTGGTGGCATCTCCACAGGGATGCCCCAAGCACTGGGGAGCATCCCTTCGTGGTCCTGGGAGCAGCTCCTGTGAGGAGGGGTTTGTATCGATGCACAGCCAGGTCATAACTTCAGCACCCCCCTAAAATGACTCTGCTGATGCTCCAGGCTCTGCCTGCATCCTGAATGGCCAGAGAGAGACACGGCATGCTTGGAAATCCTCACTGAGCAAAAGCGTGTTTCATCAACCCCAGCACTCCACGTGCACTGCCAGTCCTGGTGGTGGGGAGCCATGGAGCAACCCCAAATCCCGTGCTGAGCACAGAGCGTGAGGAGAGGGGAACCTCCATGGACTTGGACCTAAAAAAGCTGCTTGGAACTGGATGCAGTGGGTGCATGAGCAGGAGTGCTGCTTGTGTGACCCAGCGCAACCTAGCACCCACAATTTCACACTTGCAGAGACCTTGGTTTTTGTTCCCCACATACCTTTGGCTGTGTGGACTGAGAAATTACAAGAAAACCACAGAGACTGTTCTCTGACACCTCCCCCCCGACCCTAAACGTACAGCCCTCCTGCCTCCAGCCCATGTGTCCACCCGGCACAGGAAAGTTTTCGGAGAGGAGTCACAAGGCTCTGGATTAAGCGAGCAGTGAGAAACTCCATCAAGCTGGTAATGAAAGTCCCTGCAAGATGCACATCTTTCAGCACCCGGTCTAATCTCGACCAGATGAACCGCAAAAAGGAGAACCGCTAAAGGTAGAAGTTAGCATTTGCAAAAAGCAGTCTGAGGAACCAGACCATCTGAGATTGCCAAGAGGAGAGATAAAAGCAGTCATTACAGCCTGCCAGTGTGGGTGATAAAAACAAAGATATGGCTAGCAGATAGAGGCGCACACACGGAAAGCCACCTGCAGCCCCTAGCAGAGGCTTTGCAACGGGCGCGGATCGCATCACGCGGAGCTCGATGACAGCCGGGGATGTTGCCCCAAGTAGGACAGAAAGTAATTTTGCATGAACATGCACAAAGGCACAGGGTGTACAGTGCATGCAGCTGGGGAACTCAGCAACGTCAACTCCGAGGCCCTTCTGGCTCCGGTACAAAGCAAAAGAATGCAGATAAATAAAAAGGGATGTGATAAAGCATGCATAACTCTTACTAGGGTCAGCAGAAACTCAAAGAAATGCAGAGCTGACAAAGTGGGCTCAAGCAAAAACATCTCAGAACAGAATACGGAAAGAAAATGAGACGCTGTCATCACACGCAGTGGGGACGAAAAGCACGGATAAATGCTGGTGAGATCAGGCACGGGAGGGTTTGATATGGCAATAAACGTGCCAGCACAGCCAAAGCCCTGTGTCAGCAAGTTTCTGAAACCCTGGAGTGGACTAAAATCCTGATGGCAGCAGGGAGTCTATAAACATCCCACAGCAGAGGAAAATAAGAGGCTTCCTCCTGATTTTGGAGGCAGGGCACGCCTAAAGAAATCACCCGAACAAGCAGCGAGTTGGTTGCTATCGTCAAAGGCCTTCGAGCGCTTCCAAACTCGGTGGGAAGAGGAGGAATCAGTGGTGGGCAGCTTGTCCCACCTCCACCTTTCCCCCTGTCATCACCCTGCAGCTCTGCCTGCCCTTGCAGGATGGCCAGCATCGCCCTGGATGCTCCCACAGATGCGCAAGCAGGGACTGTCCCTTCCCAGAGAGCATCCCAGACAAATCTCATGATTTTTCCTCACCAAGCATGGCACAACCAACCTCACACAGTGCCAGGTGAGAGCAGACCATGGGTTTGGTGCAGAAACTCCTGGGGCAGAGGCTTCTGAAGCAATTGGAGGAAGGACTGAGGCAGAACAGGCAAACAGCACGCTCTAACTGCAGTGAATTACAGAGGGACTTATTCAGAGAAAGCAATCAGGATGAATTGCACAACCCCAGGACAGGCTCCCCCGGCTGAGAGACGCCGGAACAAGGGGAAAAAAGGATTGACCCCGGAGCCTGGGCTGACGTTGAATGGAGAAGAGAAAGAACGAGGCCAAAGACGACGCAGCTGAAGGTGCTGGGAGTTATAAAATACTAGCAGGAACTTTCGGTATGCTATTGTTCAGCAGAGAGGTTATTGCCCCTTGAAATGAAAGTATAAATAGATGGGATTGAGATGGCCACATAAATGCGGAGCACCAGAGAGGAGCAGAGAACCTCTGCTCATCTGTAATCCATCCAGAAGAGCCAGCCCGCAGCAGACAGATGAACTGCTCAGACACCGAGGAAACCATGACCTGTGAACAGCTGATTATTACCATCATTTTTTCCCCAAATGACTCAACCTGAGCGCACGCTGGCCAGCGCCGTGATGCGTCACGGCACGACACTGCTCTCCAGGCGCAACGTTACTGATGAACTCATCCCAGCGAGCAGACACCGGTGCCGGAGACGCGTAGAGCAAAGCAGCTGTGGTCCCTTCGGGCTGCTCCACTGGCTCAAACAGAGCCTGGGCAGTGATGGACAGCCAGCACAACACCGCTCTTCATGGAAATTCACCCATTTCAGTGTTCCATGCTCAGGCAGAAAAGTCATGCAAATGTTTCAGAAGGGAAGGTTTCCCCTGTTGAAAACATTCAGTATCGATTTTGGATCTTTTTCCTCTTTAAAAAAATCCAAATGCATAATAAAACAGCTTTTGCAAAACCATCACTGTGGAGTCGATCACTGGTTCTCTCCCCGCAGAACTCCAAGATGGGAAAATGCTTCTTCCAAGGAAAAACAACCCAAAAGAGAGGAAACTACAACAGTTGCCACCTCACAGTGGCTCCTCCCCAAAAGCTACCCTCTGAAGGCCGGGTGGGATGGGACATTATGCCAGCTGCCCCACTGCTTCTTCCAAAGGTCTGGCCACCCCATCCCATCCCATCATATCCCAGGTGGCTTAAACCATCTTTTGGGGACCATCTCTAAGCGCAGAGGGGCCACGATCCAATTCAACCACTACAGGAACACAGCGCTTGGAAAGGTCTTCAGGGAGCCCGATGCAAAGGGTCACTGGTGTTTTTCTGGGGAAGAGCTGCTCATATTTTATTTATTTGCTTCAAAAAAAGTTTTTTTTTTTTTCTTTTTTTTGTGTGTGTGTGTGGAGGTAAGCACCTAATTGAGTTCAGGTTCTTCAGCTAATGAAGAAATGAGCTGAATAATTAATTATTTGAAGATAAATTATTCATGGCCAGTTGCAATTCCAGTGTGGGAGCAGCGGGCTTGGAGTGTTATTTAGTTATTTTCGTTATCCTTTTATGAAAAAAAATATTAAAAAAAGAAGCAAACTGCAGCAGGGCTGCGATGAGGGGGTGGCAGGGGGCCAGCCCTGGCCTCTGAAGGAAGGGGCGCAGCTGGATTCAACTCTTGGTCGCCTCCCATAGGAATACAATCCCCAAAGCCAGGTGTTGGGGCTGTCCCTTTGGGGGACCCCCCCTCTCCCAAAGGCAGGCAGACCCCAAGACCCTCCAGGTGTGGAGGGGAGGCCGCCCACCCTCTCTGTCCTTGTTTGCACCCCTCAGGCCTCACCTCTGCGTTGGCTGGGACAAGGCCGCGGGCCTACCACCAGGCCGGGTAACGAGCCAATAGCCACCACAGCGACGACATCTCATCAAGGGATTAAGTGGCATTGAACCAGGAGGAGGATCCATGGGAGACCCTGCTGAAAGCAGAAACATCTATCGATCCCTCTGTGACTGCATTCTGAAAGCCTGCACGGCAAAGGGCACGCTGAATGCTCCACGAGGCACCTGAAGGAAACGAGAGGCCATATAAAGTTGAGCTGAAGGTCTTGAAGAAGCCCTAATTCACATAGTCCTAATTCGTCCTAATTCACACAGTCCTAATCCACCCTAATTCACCCAGATGTCCCCCATCCTGGCCACAGAGCTGCCTGCTGGCCTAAGACCTGCCATAAAGCCCCCACTTCTGCTGCACCTTTCCCTTCACCATGCCGATTTGTGAAGGGATTCCCAGCACCCTGCTCCTGCACCGATAACGAATTTCCCCATGATTTCACCCTGGGGTGACCCAATGTCCTCCCAAAATATCCCAATAGTACAGGGCTCAGCACACCACAGCCTTCCCCAGGGCCACCATCCTCCCACCTTGCAATCATCGAGCTTTATACACCAGCCACAGCTCAGCTGTGGTAAATCCATCCTCCCGCCTCGTTTCTCCTGCATTTGGAATAGCTGTGGAGATTTTCTACCTTTCCTGCTCTGCTATTTACAATTTCACCATCTGTCTCCAACAACAAAGACATTTTTTGACACAGGAATAAATCCCACGGTGTGTTTAAGTGCTTTCTTATTGTCTTTGACCCTTCTGGTCATTCATAGTCCATTAGTTTCTTTGATTTCTTCCAACTGCTACCTATATTTTTAGGTAACACATCCCTTCTCTAGCACTTGCTAACACATTTATTTCCTTTCTCTCTCCTCCCTGCTCCTCCCTGCGCTCTCCCGAGGATTTGGAGAAGCCCGGCCCCACGGCACCCGCAGCGTAACCCATCGGTCAGGGCCTCATCCTGTCACCTTGGGCACATCCTCACAGACTGTAAGCCAACTGCAGCTCCCACTTCAGGCAGCCAGGCCTCTCCTTTTCATTATTTTTTTCCCCCAGCCAGCAATTAACGTGCCTCTGTCTGCGGGGATGGGGTTTGTCAGCGGGTCCAGCCGCAGTGGGCACAGCTCCGTGCTGTGAAATCATCCCATTAGTTCAGTTCCGCCGGGGGCTGATTTGTTCTCCGAGACAAAGTGTTCCCGAAGTCGCCCCTCTTTCTACCCCCAACTCCTGAATCATCTCCCTCAAGCTCGCAGACAGATGGTTCAGCAATTTACCCCGTGTGCCAGCAAAACCTGACGGCGTTTAAGTAGGTTCTCACCCGTTCCCCAGCTTTTCACACCCCAAATCCCCGGATCCTTGGGCTCCTGCAGGTCAGCATCACCAAGGTCTTGCCCTGCCACCATCCCCTGCAGTTCTGCTGCCCGAGGAGGGCTCTGAGCCCCCATTTGTAACCCAACAGCACCTCTCCTCGTGGCAAGACATTAAGTACTGCAATCCCTGCACTGCCTCGGTCCTCCTAAAGCCAATTCCCCCAATTCCCTCTGTGTACAGCCCCAGCCCTGCTCTCGGGGGACCTGACAGCCCCTTCTCCCCCCATGTCCCTGCAGCAGGGCCAGCGGGTGCAGGGGGCCCCGTCACCGTGCTGGGAGGTGCTGAGCCCCCCGGGGTGGGTCAGGCAGGCTGCTGGCACTGACGAGGTTTGTGCATGGCATCTCCATGTCCTCCAGAGCAGGAGACTGCCACGGCTTTATCTAGGTCACCCTATGCTCTTCCCAATCTATTTTGCCTGGGGACATTGAGTGATGTGGCTCGGCTAGGAACTCACAGGGGCTGGAGAGGGCGAGGAGCAGAGGTTTTGCACGGCCACATCGCTGCGGGTATCTGGGGTCCCCAGGAAGCCACCCACGCTCCTGGGCCAGCCCAGCACAACCCCGGTGCTGGTGGGGCACACGAGACCTGGTCTGCAAGGGCCACGATGGAGGGCTTCCTTGCAGAGAGCAAAAGGAGAATCATCTGATGGCTAATGCTGCTCACCTCTCTCGTTACAGAGCCGGGAGAGCTGGAAAGCAGCCACACATCCAGACAACATCCCTGGCGTAGATATGAGATGGGCAAGCAAGAAAAAGATAGCCAGTGCTGGCAGCGGATCCAGGCTCATACCGTAGGAGCGCCCTTGCGAAATACCTTTTCCAGGAGGAGAAAGGGGGGCTCATGGCCCCTGACAGGCAATGGGAGCAGCTTAGCTACCACCTGAACATCCCATCGTTTCCTATGCAGCTGTCCTCACAACCTTACAACATATTTTCAGAAAGCCCAGAGGCTTTCCAAGGTCTCCAACAAAGGATGGAGCAAAGCATATGTTGGGCTCCTCCAGTTTTGAGCAAGGGACTTTGAGCTCTGGGCACCCCTTCTCCGTTGGCTTTTTTCCACCCCTGGTAGGTGCCTTTGGAGCACTCCAGCCACCTGTGCCCATGGAGATCCACAAATTCCTCCCAGCACAGCCAGGAAGGGATGCTCCTGAGCCATGGTATGGCATCACATGGATGTGAAAGCCACCAGTGACCCCATCAGGCCACCTGGGTACTGCAGTGCCTGCCCGGGCTGCCTCCTCTCCCTCTCTGCCCCAGTGAAGCGTTTAACCAAGAGAGGAAGGAGAAAGTTAGCAGTTTCGGTATTATTATTACTTTTTTTCCTTTAAGTGATTGAAGTGCATGAACGAGCCAGCTGAGAAAGAGGCACTCGAAAGCAACTTGAGTCTGGTTAAAGCTGGTTATCCATCTCGATTTGCATAATGATCACGCGAATGGCAGTTTGCATAATGTTGCTATGATCTACAATCACTTCAGGGTTTTATTGCGCGACGAGCCCGTGGAGAAGGCATCGAGCAGCTGTCCGTCCCTCTGGCGGCTTGGACACCTCCAGCATGTGCCGGGGGTGCTGCTGCTTCTCCCTCCCCCCTCCGGCTTTTGGCCCCTGCAGGGGCTGAGCCTGGCTTTGCAATTGCCCTTGGGTGAGCTCAGATTTTGCCCCAACTCACCCCTTGGCATTCATTTCTCAGCCCAAGCCATGGGTGATTTTGCAGCTGCCTTGATGCGCTAGGTTGGGATGAAGCCGTGAGCTCTTCCACTTGCACTTTTACATTGAAAAAGGTGCCTTGTGAAGCAAAACTGGCCACATTCTGTAAGAGGAGACCTCAGACTCAATAAAAAGTGTCCCTAACCACCCCAACTGGGGGGGCACTCTCCTCTGACATCCCCCAAACACCATCCGTGGACCACCACAAGGCACAGGGCATCGCACCCCTCATGGTGGTCACCCCGTAGCTGCTCGGTGGCACCGGCTCTGCAGTGGTGCTGGTCCCATCGCCTACGGCTGGCCGGGTGGGGAGCCCCTGGTGGGGACAGAACACCCCTCAAAATCTCCACTAGGCAGGAGGAAAGCAGGGAGGATTTCCTTAACCATTTAATTTATGTTAAAGCATAACACATGGCCTTCTTTCATTAGTTAAGCAGCGTATTAAATGCATGTTATAAACGAGTAATTGCAAAACCAAAAAAAAATGAACAAACACACAACACCACAGAACCCAGCACAGCAATAAATAAAAACAGAGGAGAAAGGAATCAAGTGTTGGAATGGTTTCTGTGGAAGGAAAAGTCTGCAGGGTGAGCTGGCAGCCAACCCAGCCCCTCAGCGGTCTGTGGGTTATCCCATGGCACAAATACACCCTCAAAACGCTGCTTTCAGTTTTCAGGGTTCTGCTCAATGCCTCAACTGTGGTCTCTGTCCTCCCTCACCTGGGGATTCTCCACCCCACACGTGTGAGCAGCACACATTGTTATCGGCGCCTGTCCTCTCCAAAACACGCTGCTGCCAAACGGAGGGGAATTTTGGTGCTGCTACCGAAAGCAAAGCTTAACAACCATGCGAAGGGCTGAGAACATTGACACAGTTCATGTGAAGGCTAACACACAGTGCTCGGAGACCTGCCAACGAAATGAAATCCTTTCTGCTTTGGGGCTGAGAGGGATGGTTTCATTAGCAGCAGAACACAGGGGCTGACATTTTTTGCCCAGTAGCATCTTTAGCGGGGCAGTTTCTCCACCCCAGGGCCTGGCCACTGCTCCTTTCCCCTGCACCCTTTCCCCACCATCAGGAGCATTGCTGGATGCAGGCTTATTTCGAAATTTTTACATACTCAAATTTTTCAGAAATTCACCAGGTTTTGCTGAACGAAAAGCCCTTATTGGAAAAAAAAATCCCACCGAGTCCAAACGTTTTATTGCAAAACTTGGAAACGAGCTGGAATTTTTGAGATGTCCTTCCAGATTATTCTGGGAGAGAGAAAAAAAAAAGTCCACCCACTCAGCAGGGAAATGAAACTCCTCTCACACCAAGGGAAGTGTTTTACAGGGCCGTGCAGCCCTGGTTGTGCAGAGTGGCATCCATGGAAATGCTTCATGCCCAGCCCCGTTTTGGGACAGCAGGGAAAGCATCCTGGCTCCAGCACGAGAGCGGGGAGCGCTTTTTATCTCCTCACACGTCAAGGTTACAAAAGCTACAGAAAATGGAGGAGGATGGCAGGCAGCAACCTGGAACCGAACCAAAAAAAGAAAGAAAGAAAAAAAAAAAGCTCTTTAGTGATCAATCCCAAACCGCTGGGCTAAAAACAACAGCGCCACGTGAATTGGCTCTGCGCTGCTTGAGGAGGAGCAGGACCTTCCCGGGAACGCCGAGTGCTGGGGACGGTTCTGGGGAGATGTTCCACGAGTGAGGATGAGGGAAGGGAATGGGCATGGGTTTTCCTGCGGGATGTAGCTGTGGATAGAGGCAGCACAGATCCGGCAGAGGCACGGAAAGGAAAAACTCCCCAGCCCCGGCTCGTTTTTGGGTTCTGGGCTGGGTGTGATTCAGGGCCCCCAACGACGTGCAGATGGAAACGGCTTGGTTCTGGGCCACCTCCCTGTCGGCAGCTGACGTGCCTGAGTGACACAGCGGGGTGTCAGATGAAAAAAAAACCACGATAATGAGTGCTGCCATGCTCACAGTGCGAGGCCAAGCCAGCAGCAGCTGCTGCCACGTGCACCTCTGTGCTCTGCTCCCATTGCATTGCGGCTGCTTGCCTGTCTGCACATGGCTTTTGCAGCCTGTCCTCATCATTTGAGGTTGGGGTTTTCCAAGGGGTGATGGGATGAGCCACCAGAGCAGCCTGACCCCAGCAGTGGCTCACAGCATTTGGGGGACAGGGATGGTTTGGGTGCAGATCCCTTTAGCTCTCCTTGCACGTGGTGCCCACAGCTGCTGTAGGTTTGATGTCCCCATTATCAGTGGTGATATCAGTTCCTCTTTAAACAGGAACTGTCCCCATAAGGGTCTGGGAAGCAGCTCAAGCGACCACAGCTCTGTTCTGGGGATGAAGGACCGGGGCAGAGGCATGATCCCATACGATCCCATTCCCAGGACAATCCCCAGCTCCCTGCCCAGTCCCTGACAGCCTTCCACAGGGGCA